AATATTTTATAGTTCTCCTTCTAGAGATCTTTCATTTTCTTGGTTAAATATATTGCTAGGTATTTTATTTTCTTTGCAGCTATTATAAATGGTATTGAGTCCTTGATTTGACTTTCGGGTTGACTATTGTTAGTATATAGAAATGCTACTGATTTTTGCACATAGATTTTGTAAGCTGAGACTTTGCTGAATTTATTTATCAATTCCAGGAGTCTTTTGGTGGAGTCCTTAAGGTTTTCTAGATACAAGATCATATCATCAGTGAAGAGTGATAGTTTGACCTCTTCTTTCCCAATTTTAATACACTTTATATTCTCCTCTTGTCTGATGGCTCTGGCTAGGACTTCTAGTATTATGTTGAATAAAAGAGGTGATACTAGGCACCCTTGTCTTGCTCCAGTTCTTAGGAGGAATGCTTTCAATATTTCCCCATTCAGACCTATTATTCTTATATTGGCCTGCTTTGCATAGTTTCATACTTCTCTGAGCGATCGTTCATTCTTCTTTACTTTTTTCCTGCGTCTGTGACTGACTGGGTTAGTTTGAAAGCCTGTCTTCAGGCTATGAAATTCTTTGGTCTTCTTGGTCTAGCCTGCTGTTGAGGCTTCTGCTGTATTTTGAAATTCCCTAAGTGACTCTTTAATTTCTTTAAGTTTTGTTGTAGCTTTTATTATGTTGTCTATCTCTTTAGTGAGTTTTTCATTTTTTTCATTCATGTCCTGATACATATTTTTTGGCTTTTTTTGTGTTGGTTTTCAACTTTCTCTTCAATCTCACTCATCTTTTTTGCCATCTGTATTCTGAATTCCATCTCTGACTTTTCCTCAATTTCCTGTAGGTTGGGGTCTATTCCTGGAGACCTACTTTGGGGTTGTCAAAGCAGCTTGTTTTTGATTTTTGGTTTTGTTTTTTTTTTTCATGTTGCCAGAGTTCTTATTCTGGTTCCTTCTCATCTGAAATCTCTTCTCTCAGCTCAAGACAGATAAGCTTGTAGTGCACCTGTTCTACTCTGCTGAGAACTCTCCTACTTAGTGTTAAGAAGAAGATGCCCCTGGATGGTGCCTTTGTGTCCTACTTTGGAGGATTGATATGGCCCAAGATGGGTGGATTTACTCTTGACCGTTTATCATTGTTGCTCTCCTGCATCTCCTGCCTCACTCTTCCCCTGTGGTTGTCACTGATGTTTCCCATGTTGCAGAGTGAGTGAATGCCCCACCTAGTTCTGTCAGCAGTGGCAATTTTCAGCTTGAGGCTTCTTGAGAGCTACTCCACTCATATCTGCAGGCAGCAGCATTTGTAGGCCCACTCTGCTTGAGAACAGCCCCATTCAGATCCTTGGGCAGCTGTGTTTGTTAGCCAGATGCTGGCTCGAGTGCAACTCTGTGCTCACCCTCAGGTTGCCGTGATTGTAAACCTGCTGAGCTTGAGAGCTTCCCCATTTGGATCCTCTGGCTGCTGTGTTTGTTGGCTAGGCACTGGCTTGAGCCCAGGCCTGCCCATCTTAATAGGCTATGACCACTTAGGTCCCCCAGCTGCAGTGCGGGTATGTGGCACCTGCTCATGGGATTCACGAGAGTGCCCTGCCTCCCCACTCCCACCTGCTACCCTGGACAAGGAGCAATGAGGATGCTACAATGGATCTGACCCCTCATAGAGGCAGCTCTCAGGGACTAAAGTTTAATGTGGCACCAGCCACAATGCCCAGAGCTTGTAAGCTGGTAGGTCACTTCTGTGCCCTCTCTCTGGAGCAATGCCTCTGCATAGTCTCAAGATAGCTCCCTGTGTCAGTCCTGTGGCCTTTTGCAGTGGAGGTTCCCTCCTACAGGTCAGGTTGCAATGATCATGGGGGGAGTGTGGAGCCCTGGGACTTTCCATTCTGTGTCTTACCCATGTGTGCGCTTGTCTTCCCTGTGTATTTCCAAACCACAGAGCAGGTCACCTCTCTTCCTACTCCTTCACTTTGGGTGCCTCCTGTCCCATCTCTTTTGATCCACAGTGCTCTCTCATACATCATCGATCTGGAGATGGATATCCACCCACCACCTTCAATCCTCTCTGTGAGAGCAGTGTGTACAGGCTGCTTCTAGTCCACCATCTTGGCCCCCGCACTGATATATTTTCTATCTTCATAAGATCCACTTTTTGGCTCCCACATGTGAGCAAGAACATGTGATATCTGTCTTTCTGTACTTAGCTTATTTCACTTAAAATAATGACCTTCAGTTCCATCCATATTGCTGCAAACAATAGGATTTCATTCTTTTTGATGCTGGCCTCTTTTTTTCAAAGCTTCATTTTTTTTTTTTTTTTAACACTCATTGCTTTAATTGTACTTAAAAATAGAATGGTGTAATGGTGTTTCCAAAATTTCCTAATTTCAGTTTTTACTTGCTCTGTTTTCATGTGTTGTCTCGTGTGTGTATGTGTGTGTTTCTTCTTTGTTTAACTTTGAAATGTGGAATTGCTGCTTTGGAGAACAAGCTTTTTTCCCTCTTTTTTTTTTTCCATTTCTTTTTTCTGGCAGGCTAGCTATTTATTTCTATTTTCCTTTATCCTGTTTCTAATGGGTCTTAAGTTGCTTATACCACTTCCGCAGTGTGTGAGTGACTTTGAAAGGGAAGCAGAAGACAAGAACAAGTGTGATGTTCATTTATTTGAATCTTATATATGAGTGTATGAGTGTTTATCAAAGACGAAGAGATCATTTTCTCTGGTGGAGCTGGCATGACTTAAAGATGTTAGTCAACCCTTGGCTATTTATTGACAAGTGTTTCCTGCCAGAATGTAGAAAGGGCTTTTGGTTTTGGTTTTATAGAGATAAAAGGAACAGATAATTTACTTACATTACTTAATTTTTAGATAAAGGAAAACCTGAGCTTAAAGGATAAATGAAATAATGTATGTGATAACACCTAGCACAATGCCTGACACATAAAAAGTGTCAGTAGATACTAGTTTGCCACTTCTGTACTAAACATAAAAGAAAAATATCTTTTTTGGAGGTCATGAAAGATTAAAAAACTTTGATCTTGGAATAATATGTCAGGCCAAGAATTTCTGCTAGTACTTACTAGCTATTTTGTAATATGTTAATTATAGTCACCTACTGTTTAGTAGAACACCAGAACTTATTCCTCCTATCTAATTGTAACTTTGTACCTGTTGACCAACCTCATTCTTTTTGTTCTACTCTCTGCTTTCTATGATATCAACTTTTTGGTTTTTTGTTTGTTTGTTTGTTTTTAATATTTCACATATGAATGAGATCACACATGCAGTATTTGTATTTCCGTGTCTGGCTTATTTTACTTAACATGTCCTCCAGGTTCATCCATGTTGTTGCAAATTACAGAATTTTATTGTTTTCTATGACTGAATAGTATATATACCACATTTTCTTTATCCATTCATTGTTGAACACTTAGACTGATTCCGTATCTTTGCTATTGTAAACAGTGCTGCAATTAACATGGGAGTGCAGATATCTCTGCAACATACTGATTTCATTACCTTTGGATATATATCCAGTAGTGATATTGCTGGATCATAACCGGGCATCAATAAAGAAATTAAGGGGGAAATTAAAATTTTTTTGAGACAAATGAGAATGGAAACACATCATATCAAAAGCTATAAGACAGTTCTAAGAGGGAAGTTTATAGCAATAAACACCTATATCAAAAAAGTAGAAAGATTTCTAATAAACAATCTAATGATGCACCTCAAGGAACTAGGAAAACAAAAACAAATTAAACCCAAAATTGGTGGAAGAAAAAAAAATAGTCTACAAAAAATTCAAAACATCAACAAAATGAAGAGTTGGTTTTTTGAAAAGATAAATGAAATCAACCAGCCTTTAGCTGTACTAAGAAAAGAAGAGAGAGGACTCAAATCAAATCAGAGATGAAAAAGGAGACATTACAGTTGATATCACCGAAATACAAAGGATCATAAGAGACTATTATAAACAACTATACACCAATAAATTTCATAACATGGAAAAATGGACACATACAAACCATCAAGATTAAATTATGAAGAAATAGAAAAATCTAAACAGATCAATGAGTGAGGAAATTGAATCGGTAATAAAAAGTCTTCCATCAAAGGAAAGCCCAGGACCTGATGGCTTCATTGCTAAACTTTACCAAACATTTAAAGAGCTAATACCAATTCTCTTCAAACTATTCCAGAAAATTGAAGAGGAGGGAATATCTCCAAATTCATTTTACAAAGCCAGCATTCTCCTGATTCCAAAACCAGACAAAAACATATCAGAAAAAGAAAACTACAGTCTAATATCTCTCGAACATAGATGCAAAATTCTCAACAAGATACTAGCAAATCAAATTGAACAGCTCATTAAAAAAAATCACCCATTATGATCACTTGGGATTCATCCCAAGGATACAAGGATGGTTCAACATATACAAATCAATAAATGTGATATAACATATTAATAAAAAGAAAGACAGAAACCATATGATCATTTCAATAGATGCAGAAAAAGCTTTTGACAAAATCCATCATCCTTTTATGATAAAAAATGCTCAACAAATAAGATATAGAGATATGTACTTCAACACAATTAAGGCCATATATTACAAACCCACAGCTAACATCAAATTGAACAGGGGAAAGCTGAAAGCTTCTCTTCTAAAATCTGGCACAAGACAGGATTCTCACTTTCACCACTTCTATTCAACTTAGTACTGCAATTCCTAGCCAGAGAAATCAGGCAAGAGAAAAAAATACAGGGCATTCAAATTGGAAAGGAGAAAGTGAAATTGTCCTTGTTTGCAAACAACATGATCTTATATATAGAAGACCCTAAAGATAACCACCAAAAAAATTGTTAGAATTAATAAATGAATTCAGTAAAGTTGTATGATTCTGTATATATTTTGAAGTTAGATCAATTGAGAGTTATGATGGTATGAAAAAGGAAGAAAGAAAAGAGAGCAGTTAAGCATCTTTTTTTTTGGCTGGCGACTCGGAGACTCAGTTTTTAATCCTGGCAGGGCCTCACTTACACACGTGCTCATCAGGCTTCAGATCTTGTTGAAAGCTGCGATGTCGACACTCTGCACATGCTCCTCAAACTTGGTGATCTCTTCTTCCAGCAAGTTGGTCTCCACCTTGTCCTCCACCACACACTGGATCTGTAGCTTGTGGATGCTGTAGCCCACGGGCACCAGCTTGGAGCCCCGCCAGACCAGCCCATCCAGCTGGATGGAATGCACACAGGCCTCCAGCTGGGCCATATCTCTCTCATCATCCCAAGGGTTGACATCCAGCAGGATGGAAGACTTGGCCACCAGCGCTGGCTTCTTGGCCTTCTTCTCTGCATACTGATGTAGCCTCTCCTCCCGCAGCCAGGCTGCCTCCTTATCCTCCTTCTCATTGTCACTGCCAAACAGGTTAATGTCATTGTCCTTGTCATCTTTGGCTCATGTGGCCTCCTTTTTGGTTGGAGGCTCCACTTGGCAGACACGTGCTAGGTGCTGGGTCTGCGGGGCTGTGGCCTGGTGGGTGGGTTAGCTCCTCTAAAGCACGCTCAGCTGGACCTCCAGCTTGGAGACAGCCTGCTGCAGGTCCAGCACCATGCCTCGCAGGCCCTGGTTCTCCACTTCCAGGTTGGCTATCTGGGTGATGAGCTCACCGTGGTCTCCATCTGGCCGCTGGAGGTCCCGGGGCCCAAACTTCCAGCCAGGGATTTCTGGATATTCTCTCTGGCTCTTGCAATGTCTCCAAGGGTCATCCTGGTGCCATTCTTCTGGCAGGAGGAGCCAACCACGGGCCTGTTCATCTGCTCATAGAATTTCCTTTCTGCAACTCGCATCGTCATACTTGAACTTCTCGAACCAGATCTTCTCATGGACTAGGAAGTTTGTAGCCACTTTTCTGACTCCAGCCAAGGACGATGGTAACCAGAGGCGGTGATGGGGTGTGGTGGTGGTGGTGGGGCAGCAGTACCAGGGGGCTGAGGAAAGGAAGGGTTCAACTTTTGAGCAACTGGAAGAATGGAGCTGGTAGCAGATTCAGAGGAAACATTTTAGTATTTTAGTGCTTAGTATAACAGCTAACAGCTAGTATTTTTTATAGTTCTTTATAGTTACAAAAACATTTGTGCACATTATTATGATGTTTTATCTTCCAAGCAGCACTGAGTTATGCTTGGTGCAATTATCATCTTTATTTTACAGAATATAGAACTATGACTCAAGGAAATTAAATTACTTGGCCTAAGATCTCATAGCTAGTTAGTGAGAGACTTGAATCTTAACCCAGGTTTGTTGAGCCCAAATCCAGGTCTCGGTCTGTCTGTTTGCCTTTTAATTTGCCGTTGATCCAATATTTATTCAAACCAAAAGGACTTCTGCTTTCACATTATTGTCTCATACTCCAACTGGTGTAACCAAAGCAGCTGTCATCTAATATCATTCTGTGGCAATGCAGACACAAGGGAAGGATAAGAGGAATGCTTAACCACGTAACTGTGCTTCTCTAAGAAATGGACACACTTAGTCATGCACAGTTTTGACCTGAAAGTGGCAACTTCTTTTTCAAATGCTGTGTTACAGCAGAGTTCCATCAAAAGGAGGAGGAAAGGGGGTACTGTGGAGGTAGCCCTTCCATGGGGACCAGAAATTGGAAGATCTAGTTCAAGTTTTAGCATTCTAGCACACAGCTATACGATCACATTCCTGCCAAAAATCTAATGAAAATCTTATTTAGGATAGAACTTATTATTATGATGATTAATAATAATAATTAACAGCTAACACATGGCATTGATCACAAACATTTTGCCTTAGCCACCATTTATCCTGCAAAGGAAGACTTCTAACTGATGAAGATTCTGAGACTGCTAGTAACTAACAGAGCTGGGACATATTAAATCCATCTCTCTTTGTAGGAACCTTCCCATTCTTAGTCCTCTGGAAAACCTGTGTTCATTTGCCAGGAATTTTGCCTAGAATTCATAAACTCTTGATCCAAAGAAAACTTTAAAATATAACACAAATTTTAGCTAAAAGCTTGCTAAGTCTCTCCTTTCCCTCTTCTACCTCTCTGAATTCTCTGTCCAGACACAATTTGTCACTTTAGTCAAGGATAGATGCAGGGCAAGGAGAATTTATATTGAGTTGTGTGTGCCTGGTTTAGGTAATTGCATGTTTCTTGGCACTCTGAAATGTCCCTCTGGAGGCTTTGCCTGCCCTTCCTGAGCAGCAGAGAGATGTGTGATGGTGAGATTGAGTTAAAATAAATTAACCAACATGGCTTCCCAAAGGGCAGTAAAGGCATAATCTTGAAAAAGGACTACTTTTCCTTGAAGGTTATCCCATGCAGCCTGGCCCATATGTTGGTGGAATGGATTTTTATATTGTCCACACAGATGGATGATGTTAGCAGTGGCTACAATTCCTTGGCCAGGGCTTCTCAGCCAGAAGTATGTCAGACTCATCTCTGGAGGATGCTGAAAGAAACACTGCTATATACCATGTCTCCCTCTTTTGCTGCAAGTGTTTCCAAGTTGGTAATCACATAGCACATGATATTCTTTATTTTAAAAAAGTGAGAAGTTATTTGGGACTATCCTGAATTACTCTCTCCAGGAAAGAATTTGGAAGGAAGAAGGATTTCGAGTTCTGATTCTAATCTTCTAAAAGCATTTGAACCTGGGTGTCATTCTGACCTTGGCCTGCCAGCTGCTCTGTTTATCTCTCCAGAATTCCATCCATTTATGATTTTCAAGCCACCTGGCCGCATGGTAAGCAGGAGAAATGCTAGAGCAAGAGGGAAAATTAAATGTGAATGCCTTTGTGGGCTTCTCTGCCATTGGAAGCTAATTCAACTATACATAGAGTGAGAGGAGGATTCAAACCAAAGAGAAACAGCATGCTGTAGCAGAAAGCCCTCAGAATGGGAGCTAAAAAACAGGTTCTAATCTAATTTACAAGGACTTTTATATGAGATAAATGACATTTTATGTGTTCCACGTTCAGTTACAAGCACATAGCAAATGCACAATCCTTTCTTTTCCTAGTCCTGATTCTTTCATGAACTCGTGGTAGCATTGGGCAAATTGGCTACACTGTCTAAAAGCCCATCTATAATGAAAAAAAAAAGAAGGGAGAAGGAAATTAATATATATTTAGACACCATATGGCCAAGCATGATGCTAGGTGTTTTACATAAATCTAATGTACAATGAATGCCTTAGTTTATAACTTTGTTTATCCTCTGGTTTCATGTATCCCCATATAGTGTTAGTTCCTAGGTGTGTGCATATCAAGAGATGTGGTAATAACAAACTATGATAGATGATCTCTATGTTCCCTTCTGATTTTAATTAATTTGCAGGTTTAACTGATTGTCCTGGTTAAAAGGAAATTAGGATTATATAGATAAACAGTTGTCAGTGTTACATAGAGATATAACACTGTATTAATCCAGGGATAGTCAGTTAAAGTACTATCAATGGGGCAGGCTCCTTGGCTGAAACAAGGGTCAAACTATTAGAGGTGACTGACTACCCTCTCCTGGGTAAGTGTATCTCATACAGTCAACTGCCATGGTTTTAGGCAGCCTATCTGAGATGTGAGGGCAGTTTTGAAAGAAAGGAATGTGGCATTTCCCAGTTCCCAGGACCGCACTGCCTTTCAGGTGGCCCTTTCCTATAGCAGCAGCTTTCACCCATTCAAAAAACTCTTTCTTCCCTTGCCCCTTCAGGCCTAGGGGCATGGCCACTTCCATTCTGTTACCAGTTCCTGCTAATCTCCACTCACTTTCCTAACTCTCCTCATACCTTTGTAAATAGTTCCTTCAACAACACCTTTTCAATGATCATTTTGGGTGTGCTGTTTCCTGCTGAGACTCTAACATTTTCTTTCTCTTGAGCTCTCCACCCATTAGCCACTGCTTACTGGATATATCACAGTTTCACAGGCGTCTCAACTCCATACATCTAATACAGAACTCATCGCAAACCTGCTCCTCCATCGGTGTTCCCTGACTCAGCAACTGATGCTGCTCTCTCTGTTAATCACCAGACAACCTGGTGGCATCCTAGACTGCTCCATCTCACTCACTTCATCTAGCCAGTCACTCATTTATACCAATTCTCCTTCAGAACATTTCCTGAATTCACCATTTCTTCACCATCTGCAGGGTTCTCACTCTCATTATTTCTCAAGCACAGTAGATTACCATCTGCCCTGGTCTGGCTCACCCTCACCTCTTCTGTTGTTTTCACTCTGTCACAATCATATTGTAGAAACAAAAATCTGCTCATGCCATACTACTCCATAAAACCCTTCAATGGCTCCTTATCTCCTTAAAGATAAGGTCTAAACTCCTTAGCAAATCATATAAGCCTCTTTTTTCTTTTGTTTTCTTTCTTTTCGTTTCATTTCGTTTTGTTCCGTTTTTTTTACCTTTTTAACCATTTTCCTGATATTTCCTCATAAGAACTCTACATTTCAGTCCTACCAAACCCCTGTGATAAACTGTCTGTTTATCAGAGACAGTTGAACTTCACACCTGTGCCTCTATGAGTGCTGTTTCTTCTGTCAAGAATATCCTGTGAGTGGTGGTCCTTCATGCCCTTCCTCTAGCATCACCTTCTCTAGGAATCGTCCCCATTCAACGCCCACAACTGGTTTGGGCGCCTCTAAGGTATTGCTGTGGCCCCTAGTCCTTCAGGTGATGGCATGTCCCAGAGCAAGATGCTCTGTGTTCTTTTGGATGAAATGCCAGCACTTTGTCCTGCTCTGTGCCAAGCAGACACCAGAAGACTTATGCTTGCTATTCTCTTTAAGGTGTGTAGGCCTTGAATGAGGCCTGGGACTCAAGTGTGGGCTGTTCTGGAGGGAAGCATCTTGGTCAAGTCTCATGACATAAGGTGTGCTGGAATGATTGATGGGTCTTGAAGTCTGAGATGGCTTTGAATCCCAGGTCTTCTGCTGATTAGCTGCATAGCTTTCAAGGAGGAAAAGTACAGAGAATGTTATACCAATGAATAGCTTGCTTACTGGCGATGTTGAGCCCTCAAGTTCCAGAGGGCAGTTTGCAGCAAGTGCATTCGTGAAACTGGAGCTAGGATTGAGGTATTTATTACGCAGGCCCATCTCATCTATCACCAGAAGGTCCCTTTCTCACTTGTGAAATATTGTTGCCTAGATACATGTGATTTAAAGCTTCCACCCCTATTATAAAGTTCAGTGATTTTTAAGCTAAAATTAACTATAGGGATAATAGAGAAAAGTACTTTTCAATCTTTGATTAGTGAGTTCTTTTCATAATGATATATAATCTTACAATGCCCCCTTAGGATTTAAAAAATCATAATTTTGATTTAGTAAAATACTTTGATCATGATTAAGTAAAGTTTATTTTTGATCTTATATATTATATAATAATTACATAACACATAAGGTATTATATATAATATACATAATATATAATATGTACGTAATTACATAATATATAATAAGATTTTCTCTTATATTATCTTCAGTTATTGATATGGATGTCTATCTATCTATCTATATGTTTTAGAGCTCCAGTCTAGCCTTCTTTCCTGAGCTCTAAACTCTGAAACCCAACCCTCTACCCTAATATACATCTCAAATTTAACAGGTCCTGATCATTCCTTCAAAATCTGTGCCAATTGCAGCCTTTCACAACGGTTAAGGGCAACTCAATCTCAACTCCTCTTTGTTTAACACCCCACATCTGATCCATCGGCAAGTCTTGATGACTCTATTCATGCACATACACTTATATATATAAAATATCACCACTTCTCATGACCTCTACGGCTACTACCATGGTCTGTAAGTCACCATCGTTTTCTTCTCTATTCATTGTGGTAGTTTTTTACCAGCCTTCCTGATTTTTAACTTTGCTTCCTAACAATTTATTCTAGGGCTTCTAGACTAGTATTTTTAAAACAACCCAGATAATGTTATTCTTCTGCTCAAAAACCTCAGAATAAAGCCAATTTCCTT